TGTGCTTTGCATTTGTTTTTTCTTAAAGGCTTTGTTGAATTACTGGCATACAAAACAAACAAACTTGAAAAAAAATGGTTCATGGAATATATTTTACATTCTATTCTAAAAATGTACTAGATATAGCATTTATAAATGCCCATTTATTTAGAAATTCCTAACACTAATATACGAATAAAAATTTGTTCAGATTTCCAATTTGACAGACTAATGACCACTAAAAATTGCAATTTATTGTGAAAAAAAATTGCAAATTATTTGTGAAACTTAACGTATACCATTTTATAATGTAGTAGCAAGATATTTCAACATGAATTTTACTGTTTTAACTCAGTAAATGCAAAGCAAAACAAGATAGTCTTATTATATCATTCATTTATTATCTTGGGAAAATATTTAATAGTTTCATTTTTTTCTGATCCTGGAAGCAAAATTAAAGTTATGGGATCTTTAGGTTTTGTTTTGATTTTTTGCACTGAAATATAAGATTTATGGCTTAAAAGTACTCTAAGATTTAGGTAACAGATCTGATTTACTTCTTAACAGGAAGTTAAAAAGCCTTTCAAAGTTTTATAGACTTTGTGAGAATCCTGTTTGAACCTTGTCACTGACCCAGTGCTGAAGGAATGAACATAGGGAAAACAGACATTAGCTAATAGACAAGTGTATTTATTTTTTCTGGATGTACTGTGGCGATTATAACTTCTTGCCCTTGTTATCTTAAGTAGTTAGTGATAGTTTTTAAGCTGGAAGTTATTGCATAATTAAAGAAGAAAGGTGCATCGTATTTTTTTCCTCACAAAAAATATAACGACCATGGGCTTTGCAGTCAGCTCCGGGGTTGAGTCGAAATATCTATTTGCTATTTGTCCTTAGTAAGTTATGTTATAACTTCTCTGAGCCTCAGTTTCTGTATGTGTAAAATAGGCGTGACACCTACCCCCTAGAATTATTGAGAGGATTAAATGTGGTTATATAAAAGTGCCTAGAAATGTGCCTGTCACATAGTAGCCACTCATTAGTTTTCTTCCTTAAATTCCTATTTTAATCATTTTTAAAGATAATTCGTGAGGAAAATATTCTTATGAGGGAATTATAGAAAAATAATTACCAATAAAATACTGCAGCACACTGAGATATTAATACCTGACCTGGCTACCTTTCAAGATATAGTTTTCACCTCAGAATTGACTGTTATTAGAATGATGATGTGATTTGCATTTATTCATCCAGTGTTCACTAAGTGATAATTGCTGGGATCCTTCTAGCAGACCTATGGGGGTGGCAATACAACGTCAGAGAGACTGACTTGCCTAAGGTCATGTGACTGGGAAGCAGGCGGAGCCAGAATGTAAACTCTTGCTGTCAGTTTATTACAACTTAGAGCAAGAGCTTCCCATTAGAACTTCCAAGACAATACTGGCTTTGAGGCAACAACATGGAATAAGCCTCACTATAAAAAGAGACTTTGGGCCTATTTCAGTAAAAAAGCACCCTTGTCTTGGGTTCAAGATGGATCTTATCCATGCCAAAGTTACTCTGTGGTAATGGTGTTATGAAAAGTGGCAGTATTACCCCCTCAAATATACTTCGTGTTGCATGCGTATACACATACACTCACTCCTGCCTTCAAAGCACTCCATTAAACGTTTAAATAAAGAGAAAAATCTTTCCGTAACATACTTCTAAGCCAATTTGGAGGTCATTGAACAGATGTCATATAATACTAATGTTAAATTACCCTGCGTAATAAGAAAATTACAGTACCCAAGTGAAGATAGTAAAGGAAAACCATCCAATGAATTATTCTAGAATTTCAAAATGAAATGATTTCTTCAAAATTAACAGTGGCACCATATGACTTTAGGAAAGTGAGTCTGATAGGAAGAAGGGAAGTCAGAGACAAAAGTCAAGCCTTTCTATGTTTACATATGCCAATTTTTGGTTATGATGCTAAAGAACTAATGTAATAGTATAGCTTTCAATTGTCCAGAAAGTATATTATTATTAAACCATGTGGCAAGAAATTTATTAAAATCTGACTAACTTCTCATTGAGTTGTTTAATATAAAATCACAATAGTTGTTTCTAGTCTACATATACTTCCTTTTGCTATTAGGTACACTTTAAAAGCCTAATTATTTTGAGAACACAGTACGACCAAAGAATAAAAATGTACAAAGTTGACAACTTCAAATAAGCACTAGTATTTCTTAAAGAACAAACCTCACTTACAGTTAGGAAACAATATTTATATTTAAGGTTGAAAAGCCAGGATGTAGGAAAATTTTGCTAATTTGGAAGATGACCTTTAAGTGCACCAAAACCAAATAATTTGTAGGCTATGACATAGGGCACATTCCTACAAAATTTGTGTGAATACTGCTTTAGTGGTTCTTGAAAGACAAACAAAGAAAGCTGGAATGAAACCTCTATCCCCCTCCCAAATAAGATGGAGACTAACAAAAGAGTACAGCAGCACTCTTTCAAAGCTTGCCATGAAAACGAGGTCTCTAGCACAGTTAATGAGATGGTTCATAGTGGAAAATAATCTGTTTTTAAGAATGTTTAGATCAAAAGTAATTTCTAATCTATGAAATAAAGTCTCTTCAATACCCTTCATTCACCAGTAAAGCTTTTATGTTTGTATTATTTACTTCAATCAGATGTTTTCAATTTTACCTTTTCTCCTTATACAAATGCTTGACATGGTTCGTCAATACTGACCAACAGTTTTATTCTTTTTCTTCAGAAAAGAGAATTTTTGAGAGAGAGAGAGAGAGAGAGAGAGAGAGAATGAAAAAGAGAGAAACATCTTTGCCTAAACGATTTGCAAGCATCTGTGCTTTAAGCTACTTTTTATGAACACTCCTTAGTAAATGACTCAAGGTAAAAAAGCAGAAAAGCATCCAATGTTAGGAAATTGCAATCCAATACCATGTAATTTAAACCTGCAGTTGCTTCTCTTGTACTAAATGACATACAGATGGGTAGCTTAGTTCTCTCAACTTTGGGAACACAATTGGTCTTTTTGTATGAATGAACATGTAGTAACAAAAATATTTTGGACAGAAATGTTTAATTCTAATTGTACACATTTTAATTATCCATGCCATTGGAAAGAATCATTTTAACCAAGATATTTTTTTGTGTTAAATTTGCAATTAATAATTTTTTTGAAACAAAATCAACAAAGATGCGACCCTTCCAACGAAGAAAGAAACAAAAAGAAAAAGATAATTTTCAAGAAGTTTGTAGTGAATCGAACAGACACTCGCCCATCACAGTCAATGGATTATTTAAGAAAGAGCATTCTGTGTTCAAGCTGTGGGGAGGCCTGTTCTGACATGACAAATATTTCTCAGGAAAATATTTCTATGTTTTGGAAAGTATTAACAGTGTAAGTAGTAGGTATTTGGATAAAGCCTAGTGTAATATGGGGTCCAGTGAGATGAGAGACCAACATGCTGTTGGTGAAAGGCCAGTCCTTCCTGTGCATCTGTCTAAGCCCGAACAGGTCCAACATACATTGTAATGTCAGGAGAGGCGCTGTTTCACAATCCACAGGCCTGCTGAGCAGCTAAGGTGCATCTTTCTCTTTGCCTCTGGGGTGCTCTTTTCCTGCCTCCATATTTTCTCCTAGAGAATCAACCACTCTATCTTGGTGGCCTCGATTCTGGAAGCTGATAACCTCCTTCAACCCCACAATCAGGGCACCTGGTTAATTTTCTCCTAGTTTAATTTCAGTGATCTCACATACTATGACATTAGGTGCCTTAAAAGTAAAAGAAGTCAAAAGCATTTCTACTCCTACGTCATATTTCTTTATATTTCAAAATAAGTTGAGATTAATATTCAGGACACTAAGCAAGTTTTCTTCTAGTAATTTCAAAACATGATAGGAAATGTTTGCAGGTAGGGCCATCTGCAAGCCTCTTTTCTTACTGTGATGGATGGCAAAGAAAAGCGATTTTACTGCAGTAAGTAAGGGTTGCTTTGTCCTGGAGTTATATTTCTTTTCGCTCATTCGTGCAGGTAAAATAAAATACTACATATAAACAGGTGTTGTCTGAACCTTTTACTGCAGTCTGTATAGGTTGAAATAAAAGCTGCCATTGTTATTAGAATCACATTAAAATTATTTCACCATTCAAATACACTTAATCAGTGAAGTGTTCCTAGATATACTTTGCAAAAAGAAAACGTAGGTCTCTAAATAAAATCACATTCACTTTTCCTTTTCTCTTTGACTTTCCCCCTCCCTGTTTTTCTCACCCATTCTTTGGAACTTCTTGAATCTGCATTAGTGTAAATGCCTTCTCCTGGCGTCTATGAAAAGTTTCTTGCTGCCTGTTTAACATGGCAAGATACAGTCTTTAAAGAGATACTTGTTTTTAAGAACTCTACAGAACCTAGTAAAGTATCTGATAAAATCACAGAGAACAAAAATTCCTAGTCGTGGAAAAATACATCCTTAGGGTTAAAAAAAAAAAAAGAAAAGATGGTATTTAAATCACCCAGAATGGAAACTGAATGATGAAGGTTTGAAACTATTCTACCTAAGTTGCAAAATTATTGAAGGGAGCACTGTCGTTTAACATAATATGCCCATCATCTTATATATACAGTGTAAATGCTTGTAAATAGTTATACTTATTAAAGTCGTTTGAAAATAAAGAATTTCAAGGTATTGGAAGGCAGAAAGGATGTGCGACCATCTTGTGAATGGCCAATGAGTTTTTACTGTTACATGCTAGTTTTGGCTAGAGCACGTTGTTAGTGCTCCAATTGGATCACCTGAATCTGGAGAAACGTTTTTTTTGGTTTTGTTTTTTTAACTGAGAGAACTAATCAGCTGCAGCTCAGGTAAGTTTGTGTGTTACGGACTGATCTGGTCACTGACAAGTGACGGCAGAAGCTGTGCTGTGGCGGCCAGCCAAAGCAATTATTTAGGATTCAAGCTAAAAATCATCCTTCTCCCATATCCTTTCTCTTTCCAGGGTCATGTAGGGATAAAAAGAACTGTAAGGTGGTCTTTTCTCAGCAGGAACTGAGGAAGCGGCTAACACCCCTGCAGTACCATGTCACTCAGGAGAAAGGGACTGAAAGGTAAGGTGGGCTGTAAGAAAAAGTCATTAAGAGCTAGTTTTCTTCATTCTCCCCCATCCCCTTTGCCTTTGCATCCTCTTCCTTGACATTTAATTTAAAGAATTCTACATTCTACACTTATTTGCTAAAGTCTACAAATTAGTATCTTTGAAAAGGTTTGAAAATGGTATTGTTTAGGTTAAGACTAAGTTTTATTTATTCTTTCCCCCATTTAATGAACACTCTATCTTATGTAAAGTCACAAGGCTTTTATTAAGGGCCTGTTTTTAGTTTACTACAAAATGTGTGGAAGTAATAGCGATTTAGGTACATTTTTTGGGAAGACATCACAGTAAGCAAAACCATGAGGGACATGGCGCTGTGCCAGGATGCTGAAATTTTGAAGGTGGCCATTGTAAGTATAGACGTTTTGGCTGCAAAAAGAAGGTAGCATAATTTAGTTCCTTTCTACCCCACTCCAATTTCTTTTTGAAGCACATGTGGAGAAAGTATTTATTGGCTCATTTGTGGTTGGAATGTCAAAAATTTTCAATAACTGCCCTCACATGGCTTTGGTCCTTGGAAGTTCGCCCTAAGTCCTGAAAAAAGAGTTTGTTCACTTCCAAGACTCTTTTTAGTGAATAAAGTCTCTCTCAGCTGATTCCAGCTTAAAGGTAACTTGCCAAGGTCCAACCATTTTGTTGTCTAATTTATACCATGGAGCTTGGCATAAGGCCGTCACTTACCTCTGATCCAAATGTATTAGTGATGTAACTTCTTGTTTTCATTCATGAACTGAAAGAGCTCTTTACCACACATGGGGTTCTTGTTAATTGGCAACACTCTCTTCCTGTCACAGTGGATACTGTTTACTGAATTTACCAAGTGTTGAATCTCTGGACAAAGTCCGCTCTCCCTGCACAATGAGTTCACGGTGGACCTCAGGCTCAGCCCAGGAGGACTTGGACCCATCCTGTTGTGTACATGACTCGCAAAATGATTTAATGCACGCAAACAACTAGAGATTAGGTCATTCTTAAAAATTCTGTTTATAAAAAAATTGGACCTCATAAAGAGGGTGAAAGGATAATAAAAACAAGCTGCAGAGCACATAGACTTTTTGTTGGGCTAGCACAGCTGATTTGTATTAGCGGAATGACCTCCTAGCCTTTAAGATTGTTAACTTAGAAAAATATTCCCTTAAAGCTGCAATATTCCTTTTCAAACCAAAAAGTAAGATCCTTCTGCATTTTCTGGTGTACGCGCTCTTGGACACTGTAGAGTAGCAGAAATCTTATGTAATAATGTTTTTTTCCTATGATTATGAACTACAAGCTTTTTTTTTTTTTAAATGGGAGAAAATTTTTTCTAAGCATTACATAACTATATGGCTTGATTTTTAAAAAAAATTTTATTTAACCTGCACTAGTTTGCAATAGTTCTATGTATGTTTTAGTATAGAGATTTGAAATATATTAGTAGTGTTCAGATTTCCATATGTTTGGTCTGTTCTCATTATAAAACAAAAAGCCCTTGAAAGATTTATTAGAGAAAGATATTTTAAGCAAATACATTCTGTAAGAAACAATGCTAAGTTTAATTTTTTAATACTCTTTATTGTTTATCAGTGCCTTCGAAGGAGAATATACACATCACAAAGATCCTGGAATATATAAATGTGTTGTTTGTGGAACTCCATTGTTCAAGTAAGTATGTTAAAAACCCTGTGGGTACGAACGTATCACAGATGGCAACAAACTGGTTATTGCTTGTTCATATTAGAATCTCTACATTACTCAATTTTCTTATTTCTATTATTTCTATTTCCCCCTCCCCCACAAAACAAAAGTAATTATTGACTTTCATTATAAATTACCAGTTTGGTAGGCTGGTTGATATGGCACTATCAATATATCCAACATTAAAATATCCAACATTAACTTTTTCATTGCAATAACCATTGTGCTTAGCAGAACTATGAAAGAGATTTTGGTGAGCATAAAAATGTTTATGTATTTATTGATTTTTCTATCAGCAAGTGATGGCCCTAAATTAATTTATTGGCCCATAATGGAATGTATAATGTCCATCAAGTTGATTATTCATATGTCTGCAATGAAGGGCACTAACTGTATTGGAAGTAACATGGGAATTATAACCAATACTTGTACATATGTAAGCAAATTATGTAATGTGAGTTTAATAGTTTTTGCATTGATCAAAAAGATCCCACTAGTTTACTATAAAACAGGCAGTATATAGACTTTTCCACCAAAATAGTTAATTCAGACAGTGTATACTGGAAATTATGGATCTTATTCAAGAAAGGAAAATCTTTACCAAAAATTTATTTATCTAGCTGGAGAAAATCCTAGAAGCCCTGTACTTCCCATGGGAATGCTGATTTGAGGGAATAAAAAGACAGAAACCTTAATTGAGAGTAAATATCATTGATTTAAAATAGAATTACTATTTTCTTAGGGGAAATGAACAAACAAGAATCTAATATGTGTAGCACGTAAAGCATACTTAATATCTCTCCATAAATGCTTCCTTTTGAAAATGCTAGCATTTACAGATTTTTCAGAAATAATAGCAAATAAGTTTCCTTGAATTTTTTTTCAAGTTTTAAGCCCTTCTTTACTTGTATAAAACTTATTGCACATTAGTGTTGGTTGAGAATCTGCTCTGATTTCTTTTGTATTTATTCTTCACGTTCAAGCCAGCCCTTCAAATTGTCACCCATTTCCTTTCAGAAAACACACATCCCTTATGTTTCAACACCTTTAGCTTGTGTCATAATAGTTGATGTAACACAAGATAATTACTGAGCCATGTTCAACTAGTTAATATCCCAAATGGTAAAAATTGGCCACATCCTCTTTGTTTAAGATTCTCCACCTCTTTTCCTAGCATGTGATTCAGTAAAGTAATGGATCTAAGGAAAACTGTTTTAAATAAGAAACAGAACCACTGTAAATGAAGGATTTAACCCATATGAGATGTTGAGTCACAAAAACTAAAAGCAAGACCTTTATCCAAACATAGGTACTGGCAGGGGTCAGGGAGTTTCCCATTTGATGTGATATTGCCTTGATTTCCTTTAGAAAAAAAAAAAAGAAAAGATGGTATTTAAATCACC